CAAAATAGTTTCTGCTGGGTATTGAGGGGGTGGGGGGGAGAGGGAGGGGGCGGAGTGGGTGGTAAGGGAGGGGGTGGAGGCAGGGGGGAGAAATGATCCAAACCTTGTATGCACATATGAATAATAAAACAATAAAAAAACCCTATGTGACTTATTGTAAGGTCAGATAAAGAGAAGAAAAAGCAAAAGGAAAATGAAGAAAGTGAGTCTGCAAAGCAAAATAGGAAAAAAAAGCAGGACAAAAAATTAAAAAGAGAATAGAGAGACTAAAAATTCTGTCTGTATAAACACCCTTATATAGTGTATATGCTTCTTTGTTGTAGGCAGATCCTCATTCTGCTTTCATTGTCAGAATCTTCACAAATACAAGGTTGGACATGGAAGCAAATGTAGTTGTAATTTTAAAATGCTAATTTATGAGTTGACAGTATTCTTACAGTATCAGTTCCCACTTAAACATTTCTTCCCTGATTTAATGCTACTCTCCATTTCCAGTCTTCATTAATTAAGTCTCTTACTATCCTTTGGATACCCACAATACAGTGCAAAGGTTATGAGAATTTACGGGAGACAGAATTATAAATCTTGCATTAAAATGCAGGATTTCATGACAATTAAGTTGGTGAAAATTTCAACTCACAGGCAAAGGCACTAAAACCAAGAATAAGGGTATAAAAAACTGGGTGAATCATGATAATGCCACAAAAGTGACATGTATTATTGGCCCATCATATAAACCACACCAAAAGATCCAACTGACACTTGATTCTTGTAATAGTTTGTTCTAACGATTAGTGTTCAGTGATAAAGATAACCTACATTTACTTCAATGAAATAAAAAATTCAGTTTTAGTGTTATCTGTTAAGATAATCCAAATAAAATTTACTCCCCAATAGCATTCAATATGCTATTTTGTTGTCATTATTTGTGAATATATCTTTTGTGATCTTTTCTCAGAACCAATTTTTCTTAAATATAAAGAACTCACAATTAATAGATGATTTTGGCTTATAGAAAAGAATAATAGTAATGGATAAGGAGAAAATTTGACATGAGAGAGCAAGTAAAATGATTTTCCTTCCTTGAAACTTTTATAATGATTATATTGTAATTAAAGTCTATTGATGCTATTAGTGTCTCTATTAGCTAAGATAAAACTAATAGTAGCTATCTGGATGTAAACAAAAAATCCTTAGAAATAATGTAAAGAAGAACTTACATATGGGGAGTTCATAAAGTTGAACTGACCATAACGCATCATCTGCAATGAAAGGAATCTATTAATGTAGCACAAAGTGAAAGTTTTTTATTAAATTAATACACAAATCATAAGAAATATGCTGACTTTCTGATTTTAAGGTGTAGTCATAATATTTTTTACTAGTTTTATATGAATTTGAAGTGCATTTAAAACAATTAGAAGTCAAAATTTTATTTTGAGAAAAATCAATATAGAATAATAGAAAACAAACATCTGGTTTATTTTGCAGTTTTTAAATGTTCTATTCATTTGGAATTCAGGATTTGAGAAAGATGGTTCTTGCTGATGTAAATTGAATTGGTTAATGATCCTTCATATGAGTTATGTAAAAGATATTTATATGCTTAAGTATCTATTTGTAACAACCCTTGTTACGAATGTAGATTTATGTTAAAGTTTAGTTGATGCTAGCTTCTCAGTAAATCCACATTTACCATGAAAGTCCACGAGTAGGATCATGTTGGGGGAAAATGAGTGCTTTGCCTTGTTTTGAGAATTTAAGATTTTCAACTCTCCCTTTATCTGTTGTGTACAGAAATTTTATATTTCAGAAATTTTGCCAGTATTTTCATTTTTATGAACTTCTAGGATAGGACTCTGGAAAACTTCTCCCCTGACACTAAGCATACATACCTCCTCACTTTTACTGCTAAATCCAGGCATTCGGGGCATGTGCATCTGGAACTGAGAGAATATCAGTGACAAATGCAGAACCTCAGTTGAAATAAGCCCAACATTTATTCCCAAGCTTTGTAACAATAGAGCACAAAGAGAAGGTCTAACAGTTAAAATAACACTCACTGGCATAGCAGCAGAATTACCAAGCAGACCTAGAAAGACCAGGAGAATCTTCATTTTTCCATTTGGTACCTAGAATACAAAACAGTATTATTTTGGATGACAGAATAATTATTCTTAGGATACTGCAGTTACTCATGTACTAGCCCACGTGTCTGTCAAGGAAGAGTACAGAAATATAAGGGGGTCTCTGCTGTTTTTTTTTTTATGTTAGGAAACTGTTAGATAGCTATTATCTATACTGAAGGTGTCCAGTGTCAGATTAAAAAGGATTAAAAGGAAAGGGGGAAGAAAGAGAGATAGATGAGAGAGAGAGAGAGAGAGAGAGAGAGAGAGAGAGAGAGAGAGAGAGAGAATGCTTGAGAAGATAGTTCACAACACTAAAATATGAAAATTAGAAATTAAGCAGTTACTAGAAAAACAAGAATATTTATGTTTTGAGTTTCCAGTTGCTAAGTTGGTTTAGAAAGGCATAGAAATGTACAACTACATTCATTATACAGAACAATCTCAGTTTAAATGAGTGCACACTTCAAAATCAGGACTTAGAACTACTTTCTAAGATGTTTTAGACAACATTCCATTATATAGAAGTTGATTAACATTCTAATTAAATAAATCAGAAAATTCCAGAGTCCTGTGTTTTCTTCTTTTCTCTATTTCTGTTTCTGTTATTACTAGTAATTCCTTTAAAGGGTTGGTCAGGAAAATAGGAAGATATAGGCAGAAATGTAAAATTATCTCTTGATTAGATAAATAACATCTGAAACGCATGTGTTTAGTATAGGTCACACAAGGAAGCTATAAAAGAGAATGCTGGTAGACCTTTCCTTTGTAAATGTTTCTAAGATTATGGATCAAGATTTTTGAGAACTTTTGGATGTGTAATTTCTCTCTGGTTCATTCATCTGTTTAATCTCTATAGTAGCTGATACAGTGGTTCTTTTCCTCTTTTTTTATTAGCATACACTAATGTATAAAGGTGGTTCGCTGTGATATTTCCATACGTGCATGTAATGTACTTGGGTCATATTTACTCCCTCAGTGATTCTTGATAATTTTACACATTTATGAGGCTAGATGTGGCCTTTTATTTTACAAACATAAAATGCCACGTCCTTTCTTTTTTTGTAAAATTAGCATATTATATCAGATAATTTTAAAGATACCTTCTACCATTAAAAGCATATTATTGGAAAAAAGCCTATGATTAGTTTTTGAATTGAAAGTAATACTCAATAATTGCTATGAAGTGCAATGACTGTGTAAGTTTTTACTTCTTCCATTTCATCTGTGGATACAGATGCTCTTTGGTTCTTCTTATATATTTTTTTCTTTTATATTGTTGTACTGGGTGAGAGTAGATTATGGCATTTACAAAAGTTCTTACAATATATCAAATATATCATAGTTGAATTCACCCCTCCATCATTCTCTTCTAACATATTTAAATAGTGTTTTGTTCTCTTAAGTGTACTTGATAGACTTGATAGTACTTACCAAGTTATGTAGCTTAGAAAAAGAGGCTCCATTTCTGCACTGAAGCAGCAACATTTTTTCACCAAAATTTTCATAAGCCTTTTGAGAAAAATAAAGGTTTAGCATGATAAGGAACTCAAATATAGAAATGGAACAAATAAATGAAACAAAATAGCAAAGCTTCACCTCTAAGGTAGCACCTGTAATCTTAATCATTTCATCCAATCATACCCTTAATTAGATGGTCCTCAAAATCAAGTTTAATCTTCTGTTGCTTTAAGATTAGGATGAAAGCTAAATCAGAGAGAAAATGACATAAGCATTGTATTTTGAAATACTTCTAGTGCAATATTGACAAAACTTGACTTCTTATGGGGAAATGAACAGTTTTTAAGGAGGTCTATGTAGTTTGGAAGAAAATCTATACAAAAAACAAACATACCATACAAACCAAGGAATTAAAACTTCAATCAGAAAATTAGTCTGCAAAAAATGATTATGAACCAATATAAAGGAATACAATAAATTGTTCAACATCTATGAATTAAGTTCATTATTTATCACTATTCAATTTATGTTGATAATCTCTAATACTCACCCAATGCCAGTTAGAAGCTGTAATATATAAAAAATAAACTCTTACTTGAACTTTGTTGGTCTATCTTTGAAATATATTCTTAAAGGTCTATATTGGAAATGACTACAAATTGCTAAAGCCAGGGAGAGCCAAGGAACAAGACACATTTATTTCTTAATAATGAAACAAGAATTCTTCATGAAGGTGTCATGTTCAGTATCAGAAAGGCTTAAAATAAAAAGATTCCTCCTTGTCAGAAAGCTTGGCATAGCAAGATCACATATAAGCACTGTTGTAGACATGCACAACCAATCAGCTTTGAGAAAAATGGTTTTGCCATCAAAAGACTTTAAGGTTAAGAAAAACACATCCAATGTAAAATTTATAATGTGTTATTATAGGAGCTGTCAAATCAAGTCTCTTATTATGTATAATAACAGTTCAGGAAAACAAGCTTAGACCAGTAAGATTTAGAAGATGCTTTCCTTGTGAATTTGGGTTTTGAAGTAGATACTTCATACAAACATGTTTTGGGAACAAAAGTGATTATTAACTATGTGCTATTATCATAAATCATTGCCCAGCATCAAAAAGCAGAACTATATATATACATATATATATTTAGTTTAGTATATTTAATTAATATATAGTTTTATGTGATTAAAATAAATTAACATGTTATATCCATGACCAGTTCAATGACTTGATTTGATTTGTATTATATAAAGGCACTGGGACATAATTTCTTTTTAAAGTCAAATATAGTTCAACCATTGAAGAGCTAGGCAAAATGGTAAGTAAACTCTCAGCTACTCATGAAAGCAGGAATTGAGAAATTCACTGAAAGTGTTATATTATGGATTTTTCCCCTTCAACCTGACTTTTCACAATAAAGATTTCACTTCTAGATAAATCCAGCTATACTTTTCATTGAGAAGAACAGGCTTTGCATTCTTCCTTTCTTTTTGGCGGTGCTGGGGTTTGAATTCAGGGCATTGTACTCAACTGGCAAGTACTCTACCACTTGAGCCATACCCCCAGAACTATTTTGCTTTAGTTTATTTTTCAGGTAGGGCCCCACACTTTTGCCTGGGACTTGCCTCATACTGTGATCCCCTTACTTCTGCCTTCCAGAAGGATTATACATGTGTACCACCATGCCCAGCTTTACATTCTTTGTCAAAATTGGATGCCCCTATTCTCTATGTCTTCAGTAGAGAAAATGTATGTAATGGTGATGTTTGCTTAGTTTAATGCTGGCATTTAAAAACTAATAACGATTGAATTTGGTGCCAAAGCTGATTTCTATTTGATTTGATTGTATACATCAGTTCATCCAATGTCTACACAGGGTACTATTCTTCCAAGGCACAGGAAGTGCCGTATCTTTCCTATTCAGCTAAATAACACTGTATTTCTTAGTGGCCCTGTTCCACAAATGTAGTGGTACAAAGAATAAAATTATACTAGAAGTATACTAGAAGTAAAGATAAGTATAACTTATCTTTAAGTTAAACTGAAAGTATTTTAAATGTCTATCTGCATTCAAGATACACAAAGGTATATTGTACAAGTGTTTGGCTGCCTGTTTGATTTTGTAGAAATGGAGTAACAATTATAATACTATGTGTACAGTTAGATGAAACTGAAAGTGATAGAACACCAAGGGAACAGTGTATTCTTAGAAGTGAAGTAGGATTTGTGCTTTTGGACAGCTCTTATATATGCCTGTGCCATTCACATAGAAGCTGTTTTTTTTTTACCTTGACCCTAGCATGTGTAGGTTACTAGGAGTTGCCACTAAACCCCGTTGTTGATTGCTTTTCTATTTTCCTTGGTTCCCTCTGCCATAAGGGTGATTGGTGGTCATGAAATAATCCATATTTCTAAAATCTGGAATGCTATTGAATGAGTAAACTCTTAGTAGTATTAGATTGGGTTGAGAAAATAAACAAATCTCTTTTTCCTTTAAAAGAAAAACCCAAAAAAACTGAAGAAGTGTTTAACTCTATAAAATGTTTTGAAACTAGTCAGTGAATTTTCCCCATTTACTCTAAATATAACTTCTTATTTTATAAGTTCTTTTTCTCTAAACAATTACAACTATTTATGAACATGTTTTATGATTTGGCTTTTAACATTTTTAATGTGTATTTCTTGGCTGTTTTTTTTCCTCTATGTTTCCCTTCTGGTCCACAGAACAAGGCTTCTCAGCCTGGGATCAGAATCTGTGCATTTATTAGATTACCTTTGGCTTGTGCCTGTTGTTTAATTTTACTAATCTTATTCCCATTTCTTCTTGTGAACCGTCTAAAAAACGTTTTGAAAGGAAATAGGCATAAATAATTTAATTAATAAAATAAAACAGTGTCAGTAAATCCTGCCTGAATAATGTTCTCTTATAGTGAAATCATCTTGGAATGCATAATTTCATTCATTATGTGCTAGGCACCATGCTAAATGTTTTAGATGACTTTCTTAATATTAACAAAAACCTCTTTAAAAGAGGTACTATGATCTCCCATCTAACATTTTACTGTTAGAATAAATGGAGTCTTAGTGAAATTAAATAATTTGTCCAATCCTATGTAATAGAAGAGGGATTTGAACTCAGATATGCCTGTAGTTGACCATTTCACTGTATATAGGATAGGCATGTTCAGTATGTATTTTTTAACTAGTGGTACCAGGACAATAGGATCAGTAAGCTATAAAGGTCTTCCAGGTTAAAAATTAAGTGAGATGTGAACTTAAATGAAATGGATTTGTAAAATTGCAATTCCAAGTACTCATATGAATTAAGATTTTTAAAAAATCCAATTACATGGAAAGTGAAATATTGAAAAACTTTGCTTTTCTTGAGAATAGAAGTTTAGTTTTTTGGTATTGGAAATGAATTGTGTACTTGGCAACATACATCAACTTTTAAGTAAACAGTTGGAGCAGACTAGAAAATTGTGCAAGTTGAAGCTTAGTGAATCTATTACATCATTTTTTACTAGACACTCTCTACCCACTTTCTCCACAAGTGTTAGCACCTACACTGACATATCTACATCCTAAGGATGCATACATTTCAAGCCTCTTTTCCATATATAAGGTCCATATACATGTAGCGCTGTTCTCTGTTTATGGCTTTTGTATTATACAGGTTCATTTCCCATCAGTCACTACCCAATTCATCCATCACAGGACATGGATCTCATAAATCTACCCTTAAAAAATATTAGACTAAAGTGTCCTTGGACTCCATGTTTTTATGCCTCAGACATATTGTACTTTCTTTACAACTCTGAACAGCAGGTATTTAACACATGGGAACTAAGGCTCTGGGTGACAAAGTGACAAACATGTACTTAGGATATACAGAGTGTAGGTTTGCAACAAGATCTGCCTACCTCAGCTTTCTACTTGAACTAATAATTTTATCACAGGGTTATGCAAACACCAGCTCATGGAACACTACTTGACTACGGCCATCAGAATTAGGAACTTAAGAGTTGCCAGCAAGTTGTTTCCCTCTTTCTGGGTGTGGGCCTAACATGATTCTTCTGCCTTCCTCTGATGATGACAAGATCATTCTGAGTCCACCAGCAATTCAATAACTGCCTTATCTATAAGAAATGTAGGTACATAGCATAGTTTAGTGTTCAGAAGATAAGTAACTAGTAAAAGTAATTTTTAAATGAATTTTTTTTCAGTGGGGTTTCTTTTTTGGGGGAGACTAGGAATTGAACTCAGGGGTTTACACTTGCATAGCAGGCAATCTATCACTTTAGCCAGACCTCCAGTCAATTTTGCTGTGGTTATTTTAGAGATGGATCTTCTGAACTATTTGCCTAGGCTGGCCTCAAGCTGAAATCTTCTCAATTTTAACCTCCCAAATAGCTAGGATTAGAGGTGTGAGCCACCAGTGCCCAGCTGCTTTTCATGTTTTTTAAAAGTTTTTTTTTCCATAGACTTTCCTTTGCTGTAAAGCTTTCTGATGAGAGAAAAGAATTTAAAAGAGATAGCATATATTTGTAGTTTTTAAATAACTTGTTTTTAAATAATTAGAAGATTCAACCATGAAGAAAGAGAAAAAGCTTCTACCAGTCATGGAAACTCTGAGTCACAAGAGACTGTAAGGGTCATATAAAGAGATGTGCCTCTGTTGCTCCAGTTGCGTATGCCTAAAATCTTGGGGTCATCCCAGACTCTTCTCTCATTCTCAGGCAAATCCTATCACCTCTACCATTAAGATAGATCCAGAATGAGACCTTAAAAATCTCCATCCACTGTAGTCAATCTTAGCTTCTTGTCCCTTTTCAGTTTTTCTTCAAATCAACAGCCAATGATACTTCAAAAGCACAAGTCAGATCATAACCCTCCTCCCATGGCTACTCAGCACAGCTAAGTTAAAGCCAGTCCTTATAGTTTCCACAGGGCCCTATGTGATCTGATCCCACCTCACTGATGTCTAACTCTTAAACTGTCTATTCTTCCTCTGTTCTAGCTGCATCAGCGTAACCAC